AGTTTCCAAACTTAGCAGTAAAGTGGATAAGCATCTTGTCAAGCCGTCGTATAACATCTCTAACATGGTATGTCTCTGCCCTGTAAACAGCAAGCCTGGCCATAACAGCTGCAGCAGCTACCTGATCAAACCCTGCAGCAATTTCAGGAGATCGAGGAGCAGCCCACCTTCTTGTTCTTGCAATGGTCATTACCCTTAGGCGATAACTACCATCACCATGTCGGTACCTTGTCATGAACTGAATAAAGAAGACAGTCGGGGGCTCAGCTTTATGACTGCAATCAACTCGGAAAAAGAAAGCAATGCTGGTCTTGCTGCTCAGTGAACTAGTTTTCCAATAATTTGTCCTACCTTCACCAATTTCCTTATCACTAACTGAGCTATTTTTCCTGCGGAGGGAAATGCAAGGACCAAGGGCACCACAAATCTTCACTTCCTTTGATGTAATTATTTCAATTGTCGCATTAAAGTTCATATTAAGGTAATTGGTGCCTTCACGCTTAAACATATGCCTAAAACAGCTTTTTGAACTGCTCAGACTCAAATGACTCTATGCACCATTAAACCACCTGACACTTCAATTGGATTCCTCAGCTCTGCAGCCCCAACTTGATCAAGAGAGCAGGCGAATAGATCAAGAACTAATGCATGGTCTGTCAACCTCTTTGCAACTTTCTTGTAGAAATCACGTGCTTTGTCAGTCAGCGGTGTGTCACGATGAGAACGGATTGCTTTACCAAGATCAGTTTCCACCACACACCCTGGACCAACTGTTGCAGGGCCAGATGTAAAGACCATAATCCGACCACCTGTACTGGGTGAGCAGCAACCCTCTAGAAGAGCAATAGCAGTGAAAATCACTGCGCCAGTTTCTCTTAAAGGGCGATGCCCACGTGGACACGCAGACATGGAGCCCAGGTCCTCTATTGCAGTCTATGTGATGTTAAATTCACATTCAGAAACAGGCAGCAAAAATCGCTGCGCTTCAGTGGACCTTGGCATAGCCAACTTCTTGTGCGGTGTCGGTGGACTCCTAGAAGTTCTTGTATCTGAAATATACAGTAACCACAATTATTTCTAAAATAGAAGCAATTGCAAAAGCGTATTACTAAACTAGAAATTCAAAACATGGCATATCACCAAGCTTGATGAAATTCAAAACATGAGTGAACCAGAGTTTTATATGGCAAGTTTGGACAACAGGAACATAGCAACAGGGACTCTAAACCAAACCCGAAGTTCTAGACAAAGGGAAAATTTCTCCAGCTATGCAGTTTTCAAGTTTCCACATTTTCTCTAGCACTATATATGGACATGAGCATTTGAGAGAGTGCTATCCTACAGTGCAGAGATATTCAAGTTATAAATCCGACAACCACCACCACCTTAGAAAAAAAAGTACATTGCAGGGATAGTGTCCAGGTCACGAAGAATTTTACAAACCAAGCTATTTCAAGGTGCTATGTACAATGTACATTTCACTATTTCAGTAGATGTAACAGCACTCAACGTAAGCAACACTATCAGAAGACAAAAGTTATGTAACATAAGATCAAAGATGGCATTGTCCCTGCATTTATTGGTTGGAAACAGAGTACTTGCTGTATTTGAACAGTTGCCACTGGTAGTGGGGTAGTGGCAAATGTGAGACGGGTGAATGTGAGAGTGATTAGATGGATCATGATCATAGTGGCAGAAAGTTAATACATGCCCCAGAACTAGCATTACAACAAGCTACTTACATTCAAATTCCAAACCATCATTACAGGTTTCAGAGATTAGCCAGAAGAGTTTTAAAATGTGATGAGTAGTAGCAGACTGGCTGTGGCAGGAACAGATTATGCATACGGAAGATATTTGGACAAAACCATGTTATGCTAAATCTGTTTCGGACAAGATCCAAAAGAAATTGAAGCTCTTTAAGCAGTTTTCTAAGGGTGGGGTTTTAATCCGCAGGTTGAAATTAGGAAACAAAAAGAAAAACTTACTCTGATATTATGGCCTTGGAACTTATAGAGGAAGAAGGTGTGCTATCACAAGATCAATTCCATGAAAAATCAACTAAACAAGCTGAACTGTTGAATATATTGGAAAATTGAGAACTATAATGGCTAAAGAGATCCCATGCAACATGGCTTCTCAAAGGGGACAATAACACAGAATAGTTTCATAGATTTGCAAATGGTAGAAAAAGGACTAATACAATTTTCAACCTTCATGATACTGAAAACATCAGGGTTATAGTAACCTGTTGCAGTATGCTACTAATTATTACAAGGACTTGTTTGGTCCAGCACCTAGAAATATTTTTCCTAATGATCCTAATCTGTGGAGTGTGGAGTGGTTCTAAGAATTGATTAAAATGACAATGATATCTTTTGCAAACCTCTTTCTGAAAATGAGATCAAAGGGGTTCTGCCTGACAGCATTCCTATTGAGTTTTGTCAGGCCTGCTGGAACATCATTAAGGTGGTCATTGCCAATTTATTTCAAGACTTCCATAATGTTTTATTAGATGTAATGTAAGCAGAATCATCACTCTTTTCTAAAGTGGTTGATGCTGATAGAATTAAAAAAACTCAGTCCCATCTGTTTACTCAATTGCATTTATAAATGGGTTACCAAAGTTCTAACTCTTAGGTTAGAACCTTTTACTGAAAAGTTTATTCAAAAAGCTCAATCTGCCTTCATGAGGGTAGAAATATTATGAACGGAGTTATGGCCTTCCAAGAAATCCTCCATGAAACAAAAAGGCAAAAATAATGTGGTGTGGTTCTTGAACTCAACTTCAACAAGGCATATGACAAAGTCAATTGGGAATTTTTTGTTCACTTGTCTTAGAACAAGAGAATTTAGTGAAAAATGGTGCCACTGGACTGGATTAGTAAAGCTGTCAAAGGGTGGTACTGTAAGTGGTGAAGCTTAATACCAAATTGGTCCATGGATCCTTATCCCCAATTTTGTTTAAGTTTACTGCTGATTGCTTGTCTAGAATGGTTGAACATGCTTTGAGTAACGTTTTAATTACTGGGCTGACCCTTATTCCCGAAGGTATTGCTATTTTGCAATATGCCAATGACACTTTTGTATGTCTTAAAGATGACATGGAAAATTGCTAGAAACATGAAATTGTTGCTATATGGGTATGAGATGATACCTGGGCTTAAAATCAATTTCACCAAGAGCAAAGTTAACTTGATTAATGATGATGAAGATAAATGCACCTTCTAGGGAGCTGTTTAATTGTCAAATTGGTTGCTTCCCGATCAAGTATTTGGGAGTCCTAGGGAGTCCCTGTTAGTCCTATAGCAAACTCCATGTTGCAGACTGGCTGCCTCTTGAATAGAAAAACAGTAAGAATCGATTATTTGGAGGGCTGGTGCTATGTCTATTGCTGGGAGAACCACACTTATCAACTCTAGTCTGTCTAATACCTTCATTTATCATAAATCCATTTACTTGATTTATCAACAATCTTTACAAACAAGAATAACTTTTTTTTGGCAAGGTGGAAGTAAAAAAAAGGAAATATCATCTTGTGAAATGGAAAATCATTTCTAAAAGCAAGAAAAAGGGAGGTCTGGGTATTAAGGACATTAAAAAAATGAATATTAGTCTATTGTGCAGGTGGTGGTGGAAGCTGGAACACGAGGTTGGTATGTGGCAAGGTATTGTTAATGCCAAGTATCTGAGAAATGATAATGTGAAACTTGTGAAACATAAACATGATGACTCTCCTTTATGGTCTGACTTACTCTAGGTCAAACACATTTATTTAAAAGGCAGACAGGCTGAAATGAAACTTGTGCGAAACACCCATTCTGGTTTGAAAACAAGCCTTTGTTCATGTTGGCTCCTGTACACTTTGAGCTTTGCTGTGAGAAGAATACTACTACGAGTTGCAAAGTGAAATCACTTTTTGGAGTTGACTCCCTATTGTTCTGTATCAGTCATGGATTGCTCTGAAATATAAAGCTAAGTATGGAAATTGATAGTGTGAAATGGAAATGGAATAATAAAGAGATCTTTTCTGTTATATGATCAACTGACGAGTGATGATGAAGGGCTTTCCTATAAACACATGTAGAAAGCTAAGATTCCATACAAGATTAAAATCTTCTTGTGGTTACTGGAAAGGAAATCTGTCTTAACAAAAGACAATATGCTGAAGTGCAAGTGGACAGGTAAAGTGCTGTGGAGCATCATAGGAACCAGTTTGGATGGCATGTGATAGACCGAACAATCTTGATAAATATTGGCTTGGTAACAGAACTATTCACTCTTTTGGCTTAGAGTTCAAAACAATGCTTGCTTTTAGTTCTTTTATGATTGGCCAATCTAGAAATTGTTTGAAAAGAATGCTTGCTTTTAGGGATTGATTCGGTTAGGATATTTCATTGAAATCATCTTTTATGCTTGTGCGTTTATGCACTATTGGTCAGGGCTCTTCGCCTCTACAGTTGGGAGATGCAAGAGAAAATGATGGAGTGCGCGATCGTCAAGGGCGGTCATCTCATACCAAGTATGGGATGCCCTTGAAGGGCGCTCCTGCACCTTCATGAGCAATATTTACGTTTTATGATATCATTGTTACACTGCATTTACAAAAATAATGAATGAATGAACCAGGGCACACATGTAATCCATGTTCTATGCACATATGTTTTTACCATCGACTCCACGTGAGAATTAAAGGATCTCACAGATTGTAATGCTGCCCATGGCGTGCCATTTTCCGTATCTGAACTTGTTGCTGCTGATCTTCACTCGGCCTTCAGTTAATAAACCTTTTATATTTAAAGAAGAAAAGGATCCCAGACCAGGTTTCCTACCAATAATCTTTACATGAGCAGTACCCATCTCTGAAATGATGAAATCTCGTTGCATCTCGCACTATGATCTCCCATTTACAAAATAATGATCCACGACTTTGGAGATGAACTTGATCTGCTGTGTGGCAGTCATTGCACACCCGCAGGTTCTTCATGATCCGAGGATTCCTACCCAATCTTTACATGAGCAGTACCCATCTCTGTTGTCTTTTCTGGCGTGTTGATGAGACCGAATGTGCGGCAATGGCAAGCTTCTGATCCGCTGTGGCGGCTCAGCAACTCTTCCTTCAGCTCGTCATCAACATTGTGCAGAACAGAGTTCAGGTCAGGAACAAATCCTGCCTTCTTGATCTCCTCCCACATTTCAGAGGCCTTCTTGTAGATTGCATCCCTCTGTGGATGCAGGATGTCGTCTGCTCCAAAGACGTGAACCTTGCTTTGTACATGAGTCCAGCTGAAACCGGTCTCCTTCTTCACTGCTTTGTCCTTCCTCAGCTTCCAGATCCTTGCTGTGTCATTCCACCTCCCACAGGCAGAATAGACGTTGGCAAGGGCAGAGTAGGCGCCACTGTTGTCAGGATCAATTGACAGCAACTTCTCTGCTGCGAGTTCTGCTAAATCTGCATTCTTACTGTGGGGGTATAACCCCCCAGTTACCCACGGCAATGAACATGGGCCTTACCACCAGGGGAGGTCCAGCCCATAAGATCATGGCCCACGGTGCTCGGCTCTGGTCGGCGTGCACCACAAGTCAATCAGAAGAATCTTGAAGATAGAGAAGAATCTGTTCGGATATGATAGATGTCGTATTCCTTGTAAATATTTACCATATAGCCGAATAGATCTAGATCTAACCGACTTGTAACCTGCCCCCGGACTATATAAGGCGGGCAAGGACCCCTCTCGAAATCATCTCATATTCAATACAATCCAACCAAGACACAGGATGTAGGGTGTTACATCGATCAGACGGCTCGAACCTGTCTAAATCGTTGTCTCTAGCGCCTTGTGTCACCATCTAGTTCCTGATCACGCGCACCTCTTCCAAACAATCTACCATCGTGGGTACCCCTCGGTGGAATGTTGAGCATCTTTTGTCGACAGTTGGCGCGCCAGGTAGGGGTGTGCGCGCCGATCCATGGTGAATCAGATGACAGACCTCGATTCCACCATACGGCGGCAACTCGGCGACGGAATCAATCTACTATGGCTGCAACTCAGCGACCTCCGTTGCATACCGACGTCTACATCTTGTCGTCATCCCGAGAAACTTGTTAATGGCGGAATCCATCTACAACGGCGACAAAAGAAGACTCTCGAGGATCGACGTTCCCGCCAGGATCAACCTTCACCGTCGTTTCCAGTACTCGACGTCCCGCCGTTAGCCGGAAATCCATCATCAAGAACGAGAACATGAAGACGTAAATAGATCGGACAACATGCAGCAACATGCAAGCCGATCAGAACTTGGCTTCTTGCATGTACATGTATCTGCATGCATGCATCGCTCAGGTACAGGAAGATGCATGCATGTATTACGCCAAGATCCGACAACACTGTGCCGACGTACGGGAAGGAGTACAAATCCATCTATAGCAGCGGCAACAACTCTCGAAGATCAAGACCTCAACATCATCATGGCTCCGACGCAATCAACAGAGGGGGGGGCTACGAATCAATCTACACAGAGAGAAAGCTATGCACGGCGACAACCTGGAAGAGGACCAAGAACTACTCGGCAGCTGCTTGGCTTGATCAAGAACCTACCACGACGCAGTTTCGACTGCTCGGCCATGGTCACCGATTACGTCCGTTCTACTACGACTCCACTCTCCCGCCAGAGCCGCTAAGTGAGCTGCCCGGACTACTTACTCCGACCACCTGCCGCGTCGCAATGATGATTGCCGCGAATAACGGCGCCGTAACAACCGCGACCGCCGCCATGTCGACAGTTCGGAAAGCTCGAGGGCCGGGCAATTTCGTCGACGCCGACCAGACGTTCTGTCTAAAGCTAAGTCACGCTTTAATATTCTTCTAAATATTCTCCAATCTTCATATATCGCTATGATGTTTCTCCGAACTGTTTTTTCTCAATGTTTGTTCTCCAAACGATTTTCTTTCATGTATACCATCTTGAAGATGACATACAACTAAGTCTAAGACAAATCCCCAAACAATCATGTTGATGCTCGGATGTCTCTAGAGACGGCCCTGTCTCCGGCTCCTCTCTACACATGCACGAGCGTCTGCCCTCTGCGTTATGGGTGATCGTCAGCGGCTCCTTAGCAACGCTTTGTTCTTCCTACACGCACATGGGCTCCGCGCTCCGCGTTATGGTTAACAAGCTAGCTAGGGCTGGAGACTCAGCTACACACTAACTGGTCGGACGGTTTATATTAAATATAAATACATCTTCAGAATAACACTAAGTGTTTATCTACAACTGATCGCCGAGCTGCATTTGCTATTTCACCACTGCTGATTTTTTCTCCGAAGTTTATTTATCATGTACTACCCGTTCTCCATATTTGTTTCGCAGGGGCACGGCTCGGTCAACGAGCTTACACTCAAGGATTGGACAAGATGATCATCGTCTGGGTGGTCGGACCACCTATCGGACGGACTTCACCGCCAACCAACTGGTCGGACTGCTCGGCACTCACTCCTGCTCGGCGTTCACTTCGCTGCCGACCAGTTGGTTGGACTGCTCATCGCATGGGCTTCATCGTCAGCTATGTTGGGGGCTCGCTACGCTGGGGACTCCTCGGTGTTCGGGTTCTTCGTGCAAGAGTCATCAGCTAAGCTGGGGACTCACTTGGTGGATCATCGCCCAGGTGGTCGGACCACCTGGTGCTTGGACTTCTCCACCGATCAACTGGTCGAACCGCTAGGATTATAGACTTCGTCGCCGACCAGTTGATCGGACTATTCGCCGGTCACTTCTAACGCTCACTTCGCCGCCGACCAGTTGGTTGGGCTGCTCGGCGCTCGTTTCTTCGCCAACCAACTGGTCGGATTGTTCGTCGCTTCATCGCTACCTACGCTGGGGGCTTACCAACTAAGCTGAGGGACTCCCTTGGTGGTCGGATCTTGCTACGTCTCATTGGTGTGCTATCAAGCTGCTCCATGTTGTTCGGATCAGGGAGCTGATCTTGGGCAACACGTCTGGGGTCTTGATACGCGCATATCAGATGACGTCGGCAAGCTTTCAGGCTTCTTTTCTTTGCCCCTGCTACAAGATTCATTCTTCATCTTCCATCAGGCTTGGGGACTAAGTGGCTACACTTCACCTAGCGGTGAATATAGTGTTTATTTTTTGATTTACCCTCCTTATTGATGGAGTCTAAGTGGCTACACTTATCCTAAGGGGAAGAATTTTCAAATTTTATCTTGAGCCCCTTACATCATTCTGACAAGTCTTATTTGGCTAAGTCCGAGGTCTCCTAACCAATTAAACTGGTCGGCATTGACTTTCACCGCCCAGGTCACCAATTAAACTGGTCGGCTTTGATTTTCACCGCCTAGGTCACCATTTAAACTGGTCGTCTTAACGTCAAACTGGTCGGACTTGTTCAAGATGGCGCTACTCAAAGGATACAAGGCACTCGGGGATTAGCTGTGGGGGATATAACCCCAGGTACCCACGCAATGGACATGGGCCTCACCACCAGGGGAGGTCCAACCCATAAGATCATGGCCACGGTGCTCGGCTCTGGTCGGTGTGCACCGCAAGACAATCAGAAGAATCTTGAAGATAGAGAAGAATCTGTTTGGATATGATAGATGTCGTATTCCTTGTAAATACTTACCATATAGCCGAATAGATCTAGATCTAACCGACTTGTAACCCTCCCCCCGAACTATATAAGGCGGGAAGGGACCCCTCTCGAAATCATCTCATCTTCAATATAATCCAACCAAGACACAGGACGTAGGGTATTACGTCAATCAGACGACCCGAACCTGTCTAAATCGCTGTCTCTGCGCCTTGTGTCACCATCTAGTTCCTGATCACGCGCACCTCTTCCAAACAATCTACCATCATGGGTACCCCATCGGTGGACTGCCGAGCATCTTTTGTCGACACTTACGCACTCTGCAAGCTGCAAGGAGTGAACCCCAGACTACTGTATCTGGCACAAGAGGCATCTGTTGGATGAATTCGTGAGCTTCTGTGAGCAGGCCGGCACGGGCAAGCAGGTCAACCATGCACGCGTAATGGCTCATTTCTGGTACAATGCCATGCTCATTCTGCATCTGCTCGTAGTACCTCTTCCCTTTGTCTATAAAACCAGCATGCGTGCAAGCTGAAAACACACCGATGTATGTTACACGGTCTGGTTTCACACCAACACGAAGCATTTCTTCAAAAAGGACAACAGCTTGTTCTCCTAAACCATGCTGTGCGAGAGCCACAATCATTGATGTCCATGTAACCGTTTCCTTGCGCCAGCAAATCTGATCAAACACCCTTCTGCCCAGTGGCACACTGCCAGACCTTGCATACACTGTGATAATGGCATTGCTGACAGAAACAGATTGCTCCTGCAATGATCTGATAGCCCTGCAGTAGATCTGCTTTCCATAATCAAGATATGCCAAGCTTGTACAGGCACTGAGAACAGCAGCAAGTGTATGGCTGTTGGGTTCTGGGCCACTTTTGATCATTGACCTGAAGAGCTCCATGGCTTCATCATTTTGACCATTCTGCTGATAGCCAACAATCATAGCAGTCCAGGCAATGACATCTCGATTGTTCATAACGTCGAAGATTTCCCTTGCCTGCTTTGTGTCCCCGAGCTTGACATAGCCTTCCAGGAGAGCCGTGAAGGAGATAACATTCAGATCAGCAACCACTGCCTGGTCCATGATCCTCCTTGCAGTCTCAACACTTCGAGATTTTGCATACGTTGAGATCAGAGCATTCATAATCTGACTGCTGCATGGCATTCCAGTTCTCAAGATATAAGAGTGCATCTGCTTTCCCATCTTCAGCATGCGAAGGTTAGCACAAGCTGATAGGACACTGGTTACCGTAAATGCATCTGGCTCCATGGAAGAAGCAGTCAGCATTCGTGAGAAGAACTTCAATGCCATGTCATCAAGCCCATTCTGGTTATACCCTGCTATGATGGCGTTCCAAGAGACAATGCTTCGTTCTTCCATTTTCTCGAACATGGACACAGCAAGGTCCATCCTCCCCTGGTGGGTGTACAGCGACACCATGGCATTCCAGCTTGACTCGCTCCGGACCTTCATCCTCTCAAACACAGCCCTCGCTGTCTCAGCATCCCCACACTTGCCATACATGTAGAGCACCGAGTTAGCCACGGGCACGCAGCTGCTCAGCCCCAGCTTGACGACGAAGGAGTGGATCTTTCTCCCAACTCCGCAGGCCTCCGTCGCAGCGCACGATGAAAGCACGTTCGTGAGCGTGAACTGCGACGGCACAAGTCCTTCACCGACCATGTCCAGGAACGTATTCACAGCGTCCCAGAATCGGCCGGCACGATTGAGCCCGACGACCATGACGGTCCAGGACACCGCGTCCCGCTCGGGCATTTCGGCGAACATGACGCGGGCGTCAGCGAGGCGGCCGGACTTGGTGTACATCGACAGCAGCGAGTTCTACGTGAACGCGTTCCGCCGCGCGTACGGTATGTCGTCGAACAGGCGCCGCGCCTCGTGGAAGCATCCAGGACTCACGTCCGCGCTGGCGTAGTAGGAGAGGAGGTTGTTGCAGAGGTAGGCGCTGACGAGGAGGCCCGCCTTGACGGCGTGCGCGTGGATGGCCCGGCCTGCGGACGGGTTGAACGCGGTCTGGCAGAGCTGCAGGAGCCGCGCGTAGTGGTCAGTGGCCGGGGCCGTGGCGGCCGCGGGCGCTGCCATGGCTGCCGGCCGCGCCGCCGCGGCCCCGGCTTGCCATGGCGGCATTTCGCATGGCCTGGGAAGAGTTTCGTTGTGAAAAGCGTTATGGGCCGCAACATGGACTTTAAGCCCACTCAGGAAAATTGCAGCAATGATTGAGACCCGACTGAGAAGTGTTTTTCCTCGCCGAGTCGTCTTCTCTCGTCTCTCCTCTTCCATTCCATTCCGCAGCTCTGTTCTCCCAAATCAATTCACTACCGCCGCGGCGCCGGATCCAAGAGGAGAGGAAGATGACTGTGGGCATGATCAACGCAAACCCGGTGGTGCACGAGCGGCCGGAGCGCGCCGCAAGCCCCCCCACGCCGCCGACGCGCTCGACCCGCTCGATGTCTTTGGTAGAGTACTGCAGTCCTCTCCTCGCGAGTCCATCTCCCTCGGTTCCTTCTCTTCCGTTTTGCTTAGCTGATGGATAGGTGCGCTTTCGTGGTGAGGTGCGTCAGATATTGTGCGGGACATCAAGGACCCGGAGCACCCGTACTCCCTGGAGCAGCTCAGCGTGCTGTCGCAGGAGTCCGTCTCCGTTGACGAGAAGCTCGGACGCATCCAGTACGTATGCTGTATACTGTCTTCATATCCTCCATGTCACTCTTTCCCTTGTACTGTCCTAAACAATTTGTTGTTGGGGAATGAGCTCTGGTGTGACTAGGGTATGGCATCACATAGGGATTGTATCCTGTGTGGCGATTAGGGGTTGAGCATAAGGAGGTTATGTCTTATTCGTGATATACTTTATTTAGATTTCTCTGGATTTTCAGAATCCTTGTGGGTTTCTGGTTGGACTGTGGAACACGTGCACAATCTTAGCTTGCTGGATCTGGAATTGCTTCTTGACTAGAGAAATAAGACTAGGCACCTAGATGTATGTTTTCTTCACGCTCCTTGTCCTTGTTGAGATTGGAGTGTGAATGTACTACCAGTCGAGCAGGTTATGTGGGGATTGCCTATGCCTGCTAGTGGTTATGTGAGAAGGTATGTAGTCCTGAGCTGTTTTGCCTGTTTATTTTAGCATTTTTGCACTTCCAGGGGTATATGCATGCTTTTGCCAGTTTCGCTGACCATGCTGTCAGCTGATCATATTCATTCATGGGATGCACACTCTCGGTGAGGTTGCATTTGCTTATTCGGGAGCATCATGTGTTAAACCCTAAAAAAGACAAGAAAAATCCTGAACTGACTCTGACTGTAGAAACACGGAGAACCACGTCTAGACATCTAGCTTCGCTTTTCTGTGGTTCCTTAAATGGTGCAATTTCCTGCAGGATAACCTTCACCCCAACTGTGCAGCACTGCAGTATGGCCACAGTCATTGGTCTGTGCCTCCGACTTAAGATGCAGAACTACCCTCCACATTTCAAGGTGCTTTTATGTTATGTATTTCTGGAATTCTTGTTATGGCGACCATTTGAGATGCATTATATTCAGGGTACATTCTATGCTAATTTAGATTTATGGTTGGCTTCTATCCTTATGGAAGTACTCGGTGGGACTGGTAGGATTTGAGCTGATTGTTAATGTCATTCATCAATAATTTTAAACGTATGCATATCTATAAAATTCCATGAACTTGGTGTGGACCAGACCCAAAGAACCAAGAAAAGACTGATTTATAACATTCACAGAATGTTTTTATAAACCTACCTACCACCATCAGGGCCCTAAATCTGTCCTTTTTTTTAGCTTCAAAGTTTGGACAATTGCGTAGTTAAAATAAAGACTATTATTTTGTTCTGATATAGGATGGCGATTCGCAATATTGGTATAATACAATATCGACACCTTACATTGGTTTTGCATATCCCATGGAAGTCTATTGGCTAATCAGCCTTCAGTAAAGTGTATATATAATAAGTCATTTGTATGGTTACTTTTCTCAAATACATTGTCAATATACGAAGGTAGCTATGCTGCAACTGAGCTGCAAGTTGCTCTTTGTATTTTATTAACGTTCTCTGTTGACCTCCTATATTTTATTGGATAAAATAGGTGCAGCCTTATCTTAAGAGCATTGATTATTAAAGAATATAGCAGACCCCACTTTGCAACTTTTCATGATACTGGTTTACTGGAATGCGTTATACCACCACTATTTCAGCATAGTACCCCATTTGCACTATTATATTCCTAATTTATTGTTAATTCAGTCATCAAGCATATATGCAATCCTTTACCTTTTCACTAATTGTCAGGTTGACATCAAAGTTGCTCCAGGATCTCTTGCTAATGAAGAATCAGGTGTGTACACTGACAAGTTTCTAAGGCTAATATCTAAGAAGTAATATTATGTGGCCCAGTCACTATTCGCAAGCCCACATAATTACTGTCATATAATATTGTTTTCTTTTCCATAAATCTGCTTGTGATGTATCAAAATATGATAGCTCCACTTTGTTCCTATTCTTGGAAGCCAAACTAAGCATTATTTTGTAGACATATTTCAAAGAATGTCAATGGCACCTTTAAGAGATGATATGTTGCAGCCTACCAACAGAGATGTCATTCTATCCAGACTAACTTATAACTTGTAGACTCTATTTTGAATAATGTACCAGATTGATTTGAGTAAAATTATATCATGTCCGTGCATATTTTTCTTTTTGTCTACACAAGAATATATTGCTGACTATTTTCAAAGCATGTTACATTCTATACTGCCTCGAGACTTTTCCATCAGCAGAAGATCAACATCATAGAATACAATTGCAACTATGGCATTTTAAATTTGTCATGTGATAGTTGGTTGATGAAATGACAGTAAACAAGCAACTGAACGACAAGGAGAGAGTTGCAGCGGCCTTGGAGAACCCCAACCTACGCCAGTTGGTTGATGACTGCTTATGCTTCAATGATCCATACTCACGTTAACTTGCTCCATGCTGCTTCACTAGTCAGAACCTGCCTGCTGTGCTGTACAGTTGTAACCATGCATGCTGTAGTTTGCCCAATATGTTGACACTGTTGTTATACCTGGCAACATATAATTAACTGCCCAAGACATCCTTTTTTGCCTTTTAAAATGTATGAATCCCAGAATATATGAACCAGAGTTGCCTGCTTATGTGACAGTAGCATCCAAAAGCAAGTGCTATTTATTGTAAAATAGATCTTTGTTGATCATCTATACCGGAAGTCAATTCTGATCTTGTTATGTTCGGTCCCGGAAGTGAACCTGTTATACCGTATTTGCTTTTGGTCAGCTGCTCTATCTTTCGCCACCATCTTCTGACTGTAAACTCACAAGAAGACCAACCGTGTGGTGCTCTCTGCAGCCTCCAAAGTCCATTCGGTAAGAGATTTGTGTTATGATGTTTGTGAGTATTTTCCTATATGCTCTTGCTCCTGAGTCAAAGCATTACCAAAACCCACCCATCTGGAACTTGCTACGTGGAACAATGTATTGACTTGCAGGTCATCTCTTCCTTTTCAGATGGAAAATTCGCATCAAACACTCGTGTTAATTACAGCAAATAATTGAATGGCGCTCCACGGATTCAGGGACGTGTTCGGACGCACCTCCAGCCCTCCCTGTCTGAGTGTCCCGCCCCCACGCACGAAACCACGCCCACAGCCCCCAAAACAATAGACTTGTTCAATCCCCGACCAAAACAATGGAGCACCTAGCGCTCACCCCCCACGGAACAGTAGACTGTTCCGTCTCGCAGGCACTGCCATCCCACCGCCCGCCCGTCCCCTCCGCCATCCCGTTGCACCGCCCATCCCCCACCGCGCCCACGCTAGGCGCGTCGCATCCTCACCGCGCTCCTATCATCAGTATTATTTGTTTGTAACATCAAATAAAAAGTAATGCGAGATGCAACATCAGAACAAGTCTGACTGCAATATTAGAACAAAGTGACTGCAACAACAGAATAAAGCTATTGCAATACGAGATGCAACATAAAAAAAACTAATGCAACAAAGAAATATTACTTGTTGTAACACCGTAACAAGGCTACTACAACAAAAAAAAACAGAACAAAAGCGCAAATGCGAAAAATCAACATCAGAAAAAAAAACTAATGCAACAAAGAAAAAATTATTTGTTGCAACAGCAAAACAAAGCTACTGCAACAACAGAGAAACAAAGCGCAATGCGAGATGCAAAATTAGAAAAAAAGACTAATGCAACAAAAATAATACTTGTTGCAACAACAAAACAACGCTACTGCAACAACAGAAACAAAGCGCAATGCTAGATGCAACATAAAAAAAGACTAATGCAACAACAAAAAAATACTTATTGCAACAAAAACTAATGCAAGCAACAACAAAAAAAGCCACCGTATTACCCTTAGATCCAGATCCAGAGGAGGAGGAGGAGAAGGACTCAGATCTAGAGAAGGACCCACTTACCTCGCTGGAAGCCGAAAGTCGCCGCCGTCACCTTCCTCTCCGGTGGCATGGAGGTCGCGGAGGGAGGAAGGGAGGGAGGGGTGGCTCGCCGGAAGCCGTCGTCGTCGCCCTCCTCTCTGGTGGCATGGAGGTCGCGGAGGAGGAGGGAGGAGGGGCGGCTCAAGGACTTAGATCCCTCCTCTCCGGTGGCATGGAGGTCATGAGGACCCACTTACCTCGCTAGAAGCCGCCAGCCGCGTCGCCTCTCTCCGGTGGCATGGAGGTCGCCCACTCACCGGAAGCCTCTCTCTCTGGTGGCATGGAGGTCGCGGAGGGAGGAAGGGAGGGAGGGGCGGCTCGCCGGAAGCCGCCGCCGTCGCCCTCCTCTCCGGTGGCATGGAGGTCGCGGAGGGAGGAAGGGAGGGAGGGGCGGCTCGCCGGAAGCCGCCGCCGTCGCCCTCCTCTCCGGTGGCATGGAGGTCGCGGAGGGAGGAGGAGGGAGGGAGGCGGCCATGCCGCCGCCGCCTGCCGCCTCCTCTTTGGTGGCATGGAGGTCATGGAGGAGGAAGGAGGGAGGGCGGCGGCGGCGGCGGCCGCTGCGTGCCAGCAGCGAGAGAGTGGAGGAGCGGGGAGGAGGAGCGGGCGAGCAGAGCGAGAGTGAGTGCGGCAGTCACGGGACACGTGATGGGAAGGAGTCGAGCGAGATAAGGGGCGCCGCATGGTCGAGTCGTTCTTGTGCGGGTCCGTCTGGACGGGACGGATGGCGGCACGGTAGTGTTATCAAGGTCGGAGTAGCCATCATATATACCTTTTGGAAATCTGATAACAAATACCAGTACATAATGACATATCTTTCTATGAAATTTTGGAAATCTGATAAAATAAAATAAAATGATGTCACAAGGCATTTTAATTTTAAATAAAGGTCCTCGTGTCTGAAAAGGGATCATATTTTTTTATGTCAAAGGGATCATATTTTGATTACATAATATTTTTGGAAAGTCTCGAACATTCATCAAGACCACGCATGACGCATTTCGGCATTTCCTCACCATTCTATCCTGGGTGACCGGATTATTACTGTTTGCTCGTTTGATGTAAGAAAAAAAAATATTATTCTAACTAAAAATTTACAATCATTTACGACAAGCGAACAGGCTGTCTCTCCTCGCTAAACAAGCAACCTCGTGGATAGGAGTTTTTGAATGAAGAAGAAAAAAAGGCAAAAAAAAAAATCCTGCGTCAATTAATCTTCTCGGACTGATGGCGAGAGAGATATTTTGGAGGATTGAGGCGTGAACTGGCAGTGGCAGGTGCCGACGTGCCGCACCCCGGTCCACGTGTATTGGCAATGAATTTCGGCAAAAAATCGGTCCATTGGATTTGTGGGCACGGATGGCGAAAGCCATTCTGTTCTTACCGGCGATTTTATATAGTGGCAGAAAAAAAGTTAATTTTAATTAAATCTATCCCCTTCAACTTCGCCAAAAAGAAAAAACTTACAAATAAAATTGTTTTAGATTTTTTTATTGCCGTCCCGGGCTCCCGGCGTCCTCCGGACTTGTTCCTCCCCTGATCCCCTCGTCCGCTTGCGCCTCGCTCTGCCTTCGCGCATCCCGGCCACAACCCATGCTCCTAACCGCGCCGCCGCACGCATCCCCCGAGCCTCCTTCCGCTTGTCGGCTCTGCGCTCTGCTTCTGCACCCGGGTGCGCTCGAGCTTGTCGGCTCTGCGCTCCGCTGCTGGACCGGGGTGCGCGGTGGGCCGATCCATTCGGACTTCGGATTGATCCATCCGTTGTGGTGAGGGACCCCCTCGTGCTTTGATCGATCGTTGTAAGATGAGCTCGGCCCTTGTCTTCGTTTTCTTTGGTTGGAGCAATCGAGTCCAAATCGTTCTCTAATTTCTGGAATCGTGCTCCAATCCGTTCAGTTTGTTAATTTGGCGACCGCTAAATCCTGTTTGTTTTCTGAATTTCGTTGGAGGTTCACCCCCACGTCATCTCCGCTCCTTTTGAGATTCGATTCGGAGAATTGATATTTTTTTTGGTTCAAAGTCCTGTGTGAGCGGTAGCAATTTTTCTTCTGATCAATTAGCTATTTTTGTGTTCTGTTTACTTCTACTTTTGGAATTAGAGTTCTATATGTTATGTGTGGGTGCATCTGTGGCCGATTGGTCTTGCTTTTAATGCAAGTCTAGCAAAAATTTTCATCTTGGATAGCCTGTGAGTAAATTTGTGGCCAAGTTAGCATGGTCTATGTTTGGGTCGCTCTAATAATCTAACAAAATAAACTTTGTTGATACTCTGGTGCTAAGCCTTTTCAACGTTGCTTTTGCAGTTAATGGAATCGAACTGTTTTTGAGGCTGCAGAAACAGTTCCTTTTAAATCTACATATTGCCCGTGCCAATGCGATAAGGAATTGTGTCGATTTGATATTATTGCAAGATGGGCGACGGGGTGGCTTTTGAGGCTGCGAGGAAGATTATCATGCACCCGCTTTATGCACCAAGGTCTTCACCGTGGCTTGACTTAAAGGTGTTCTATATTAGGGTAAGCAACTGTGTGGTGGATGAGTCTGCGCCGGAGCATCTCACGCTGAACCACATCCCTCTGTCACCTGATACAGTTATCGAGGTGAATGGCCAGCGGAGCAGCATGCATACTGAGTTCATATCCTCCTCACTGAGGAGGGACAGGGTTGACAAAAAGACAGAGGAAGCTACATTTGTCAGCACAGATAACATACGGATGACAGGGAGTGTGAGGTTCCAAGTGTTTGATAAGAATGATCTCTTGCTCACAGGAGATCTAGATTTATGCAATGCCAATGGAGTAGTTGGGGAATCAAAGAACAGCAGCAAGAGATGGAATATGAAGTGTCAGTCATCCACATCATGCAATGGCTTCTTGAAGGGAAAGCTGTCCAATGGCTCGGAATATGTACA